AGAGTTTCACTCTTGTTGCCTAGGCTATAGTGCAATGGCACAATCTTGGCTCACCACAACCTCCACCTCCTGGGTTCAGGCGATTCTCCTGCCTCAGCCTCCCGAATAGCTGGGATTACAGGCATGTGCTACCATGCCTGGCTAATTTTGTATTTTTTTAGTAGAGACGGGGTTTCTCCATGTTGATTAGGCTGGTCTTGAACTCCTGACCTCAGGTGATCCACCCACCTTGGCCTCTCAAAGTGCTGGGATTACAGGTATGAACCACCGTGCCCGGCCCCAGATTATTTCTTATTGCTCATTAACCTCCTTTTCTTTCAGATTGAAGGATTCCCTTTAGCTTTTTTTTAGGACAGGTCTGGTGTTGATGAAATCGCTCAGCTTTTGTTTTTGTCTTTATTTTTCCTTCATGCTTGAAGGATATTTTTGCTGGACATACTATTCTAGAGTAAAAGATTTTTCCTTCAGCACTTTATATATGTCATGCCACTCTCTCTCTGGTCTGTACAGTTTCCACTGAAAAGTCTGCTACCAGACATACTGGAGCTCCACTGTATGTTGTTTCTTTTCTCTTGCTGCTTTTAGGATCCTTTCTTTATCCTTGAGCTTTGGAAGTTTTGTTATTAAATGCTTTGAGGTAGTCTTCTTTGGGTTAGATTGGCGTGCTGTTCTATAGCCTTTTTGTACTTGAATATTGGTTATCTTCCTCTAGATTTGGGAAGTTCTGTGATATTATCACTTTGAAGAAACTTTCTACCCTCACCTCTTTCTCTATCTCCTCCTTAAGGCCAATCATTCCTAAGATTTGCCCTTTTCAGGCTATTTTCTAGATCTTATAGATGTGCTTCATTCTTTCTGATTCTTTTTTCCTCTCCTCTGTGTATTTTTTTTCTGTCTCTGTATGTGTGTGTGTGTGTGACAGTTTCACTCTTGTTGCCCAGGCTGGAGTGCAGTGTTGTGATCTTGGCTTACTGCAACCTCTGCCTCCCAGGTTCAAGTGATTCTCCTGCCTCAGCCTCCCAAGTAGCTGGGATTACAGGCATGCACCACTACACCCGGCTAATTTTTGTATTTTTAGTAGAGGCAAGGTTTCACCATGTTGGTCAGTCTGGTCTTATAGGTGTGAGCTATAGCGCTCAGCCTCCTCTGTGTATTTTCAGATAGATTGTTATCAATCTCAGTAATTCTTCTGTTTGTTCAATTCTGCTATTAAGGGACTGGACTCTGATGCATTCTTCAGTATGTCAGTTGCATTTTTCTACTCTAGAATTTCTGCTTTTTAATTATTTCAATCTCTTTGTTAAGTTTATATCATAGAATTCTGAAATCCTTCTCTGTTATCTCAAATTTCTTTGAGTTTCCTCAAAACAGCTATTTTGAATTCTCTGTCTGAAAGGTCACATCTCTGTTTCTTTGGGATTGGTCCCTGGTGCCTTATTTAGTTCATTTGTTGAGGTCATGTTTTCCTGGCTGGTGTTGATGCTTGTAGATGTTTGGGCAATAAAGAGTTAGGAATTTATTATAGTCTTTGCAATCTGGGCTTTGCAATCTGTGCCTGCCCGCCCTTCTTGAGAAGGTTTTCCAGGTAGACAGAGGGACTAGGTCCCCAAGCTCAGTAATGCTATGGTTCTTGCAGACTCATAGAGGTCCCACCTTGGTGGTCTTGGATAAGATTAGGAAGAATTCTCCAGATTACCAGGCAGAAACTCTTGTTTTCTTTCTTATTTTCTCCCAAACAAAGTCTCTCTGTGCTGAGCTGCTGGAACTGAGGTGATGCAAACACCCATGTGGCCACCACCAGTGGAACTGCCCTGAGGCAGACCTGAAACCAGCATAGCACTGGGTCTTGCCCAAAGCCCATTGTAACCACCACCTGGTTACTGCCTATGTTTGCACAGGCTGTAAGGCTCTACAATAAGCAGGCAGTGAAGCCAGCCAGGCTTGTGTCCTTCTCTTCAGGATGGTGAATTCTCCCAGGCCCCAGGCAGGTCCAGAGATGCTGTCTGGGAACCAGGGATTGCAGTAAAAACCTTACAAATCTACCTTATGTCTTATTCTACTGTGACTAAGCTGGCACCCAAACCACAAGACAAAATCCTTCACACTCTTCCCTCCCCTTTCCATAAGCAGAGGGGCCTCTCCCTGTGGCCACCACCACCACTGACCCATGGCGAGTTCTGTCAGACCACCACCAATGTTCACTTAAGGCCCAAGGGCTCTTCAGTCAGCTGTGACAAATGTTGCCAGGCCTGGAACTCACCCTTCAGGGTAGTGAACTCCCCTCTGGCACAGTGCAGGTCCAGAAATGCTATCAAAGAGCCTGGACCTGGGGACCCCAAGAGCCCGTTGGTGCTCCACACCACTATGGCCAAGCTGATACCCGAAGCTGGCATGTCTGAGTCTCACTCAAGACCCACAGCATACTGTCTGTGAGTCACTGTTGGCTACTCAGGGCCCATGGGCTCTTTAGTCGGCAGGTGATGAAACCTGCAAGATTGAGTACCTCCCTTCAAGGCAGAGGGTTCCTTTCTGGCCCAGGGTGTGTCTAGAAATGTTGTCTGAGAGCTAGGGCCTGGGATGGGGGCCTCACGATTCTGCCAGGTGCCCTGTCCTATTGTGGTTGAGCTGGTATCCAAGACGCAAGATAAAGTCCTTACTCTTCCCTCTCCTCTCCTCAAGCAGGAGTCACTTTCGTTGCTGTGAGCTGCACTGCCTGGGGTTGGGGGAGGGGTGGCACAAGCACTTCCTCAGCCACCCAACTGGTGTCCCATGTCCACTGGCTCTGCACTCAGCACAGAAGAAGGATTGACCTAGGAACTGCAGTCCCTGTGGCCTAGACTGCCTTTCAAGTTTATTTAGGACTTTAGAACACTTTAGCCCAGTGTTGAGGCTTGCTGAAACTCAAGTTCTGACTGCTGGGATGGACAATTCCCCTCTGGCTAGGGCTGGTCTAGATGCTCCCTCTGTGGATGGGCATCTGCTGAGTTTAACTCAGTTTTGCTTTCTGCTGTGACCAGGCAGCACTGAGTTCAACGCAGGGCCCCACAATTGCTGTGCTTTCCCTCTCTCAAGGGCACAGCACCTGCTGCTGCTAGGGGAACGGGGGAGGAGCAGCGTTACCAATTCAAGACTATCCTTCCTACCTTCTTTCAGTGATATGAAGTTAAAATCAGGCACTGTGATTGCTTACCTCATTTTTGGTTCTTATAAAGGTGCTTTCTGTATGTGTAAATAGTTGTTAAATCAGTGTTGCTGCGTTGGGGGACAATTGGTAAAGGCTTCTACATTCAGCCATCTTGCTCAGGCCTCTCCTGATTGAACTGTTTCTTAAAAATTATTGTGGCTGGGCACAAAGGCTCACATGTGTAATCCCAGCACTTTGAAAGGCTGAGGCAGGAGGATCACTTAAGGCCAAGAGTTCAAGACCAGCCTGCGTAACATAGCAAGACCCCATCTCTACAACAATAAAAAAATTATCTGGGCATGATGGTGCCTGCCTGTAGTCCCAGCTAGTTGGGAGGCTAAGGTGGGAGGATTGCTTGAGCTCAGAAGTTCAAGGTTGCAGTGAGCTATGATCATGCCACTGCACTCCAGCCTGGGCAAGAGTGACACTTTATCCCTAAAAAAATAATTTGGCTGGGTGCAGTGGCTCCCACCTGTAATCCCAGCACTCTGGGAGGCTAAGGTGGGTGGATCACAAGGTCAGGAGTTCAAGACCAGCCTGGCCAAGATGGTGAAACCTCATCTCTACTAAAAATACAAAATTAACTGGGTGTGGTGGCACGTGCCTGTAATCCCAGCTATTCGGGAGGCTGAGGCAGAGAATTTTTTTTTTTTTTTTGAGACAGAGTCTTGCTCTGTCTCTCAGGCTGGAGTACAGTGGTGTGATCTTGGCTCACTGCAACCTCTGCCTCCCAGGTTCAAGTGATTCTCCTGCCTCAGCCTCCCTAGTAGCTGGGACTACAGGTGTGTGCCACCACGCCCGGCTGACTTTTTGTATTTTTTTTTAGTAGAGATGGGGTTTCATCTGTTAGCCAGGATAGTATCGATCTCCTGACTTCGTGAGCCACCCGCCTCAGCCTCCCAAAAGTGCTGGGATTACAGGTGTGAGTCACCGTGCCTGGTGCAGAGAATTTCTTAAACCTGGGAGGCGGAGGTTGCAGTGAGCTGAGATCGTGCCACTGCCCTCCAGCCTGGGCGACAGAGCGAGACTCCATCTCAAAAATAAATAATTTATTTTAGACTTTTCATTATGCTTGAATATTTTCAAAATAAAAATTAGGGAAAACATTTCTCTCTAATGTATACACCTAAACAATTCCACTGGCCTTAAAACTCTAGCTAGTCTTTCTTGCCATATAAATTCTTCTCTGAGGGGTAGCTAAAATAATAAATTCCTCTCTTTTTATTTTATTTTTTAAAATTTTTTGAGATGGAGTCTTGGTCTGTTGCCCAGGCTGGAGTGCAATGGAGTGATTTCAGCTCACTGCAACCTCCGCCTCCTGGGTTCAAGTGATTCTCCTGCTTCAGCCTCCTGATTAGCTGGGATTACAGGCATCTGCTACCATGCCTAGCTAATTTTTGTATTTTTGTATAGATGGGGTTTCACCATGTTGACCAGGCTGGTCTTGAACTCCTGACCTCAGGTCATCTACCCACCTTGGCCTCCCAAAGTGCTGGGATTACAGGCATGAGCCACCATGCCCAGCCATTACTCTCTTTTTAACTTGAAACTTCTTCAGAACAATTACTAAATACATCATGCACTTTGTATTAGTTGGTGATTTACATGTTTAAATCCTTCAGTCAACTGCAAGCTCTTTAACGTAAGGACTGGGTTTTATATAATGCTGCACAAAACTGATCTCAGTGTATTACTCATATTATACCACGTCTGTTGATGCTCATTAAGTTAAGCCAGCAAACAGTAACTTTTTGACTCCAGCTTGCCAGGAGTAAAAAAAAAAAAAAAAAAAAAGAAATGGAAGTCAAGCAGAGAGTCTATTTAAAATATCAGCTTATTGTTTATCTAGTGTGGAATTCATACAGCAATCAAAGAGCTTTACAGTCTGTACCTAGATGCTCATTGCTATTCAGTGACTCATATTCTTCATAATTTCCATTTAAAAGTTGAAGTCTAAGTCTTAACTTTAACATGATTAACAGTATTATGTTTTTTCTTTATGTTTTGAATTTTTTTGTAGACATGGGGTCTATTTTGCCCAGGCTAGTATCAAATTCTTGCCTCAAGAAATCTTCCCCTTTTGGCCCTTCAAAGCGCTAGGATTACAGGCATAAGCAACCACTGTAGGCCAAAGTACTTTGTCTTTAAATAAAAGGTTTATAAGTAAGCCTGTCATTCATATTTCACTAAATTTTACCATATTTTCCTGAAGTAGTAGATGAAAAATGTATTTAAATTAATTCATAGATGACAGGGAAAAAAGGCGTATAAAGAGAACAAGTGACCTGTCCTAAATCACACAATCACTTCTCAATACTTTCTCTTTTCAGTGATGCATGCTTATTTTCTATCTGATGAGTTGGATCGTACTTTACAGGAAACCTAAAATAAATTCTTAGGTCAGGAAATGTGACTTCGATTCATTAAAAAACATATATTTATGTGTAGTGTGTTCTTATAGCTGTAATTTACAAATATTCATAAAGATTTCCAAACCTCAGTCTGCCTCTTGATATAGGTCCATTTCATTTATATAATCATAATTAATAATAAGTCAGTATTTATTTTGCTGATTTAAGGTGTTTATCCAAAAGTTCAACAACGGCTTCTTCATCTGCTGATTGAAGCAGTCTCTGAATTAGCTGATCCAGGCCCTTCCCACCACACAAAAATTCCTGGTAAAAGAGAGAGCTATTATGAAACCTGGTAAAAGAGAGAGTTATTAAGAGAGAGCTATTATGATGATTAGAAATATAAGCAAAGACTTTAGTGTTTATTTCATTTCTTTGCAGTCATTATTAATAACAATAAAGCACTACTGATGTTCTACAATACAATGAACACAATTGCTAACTTGGGAAGATCCCCACTCTGTAGAAGAATTCAGTTAGCATTTTATTTTAAAATAAATCTTCTGAGATTTGGATTTTCCTAACAACTCCAGAGACAACAAAACAAAGATATCTAGATGGACTTTTGAAATTGACCACCTCCCTCCCTTTAAAATTCCATTGATTGGCTTTTATGACAACACCATTCTAGGCTCTCAAACCATCTTTGGGAGAATAGGTTTGCTGAATTCTTTCTCTTATTGTACCCTAAAAACAATTGCTTTTATTCTTGTCCTGAACATTCTACCCTTTTCACTCACATTATCTTATTTCCCAAAGGAAAAAGACTGAAAGGTCTCAATTCCACAAGCATTTTGTTCCACAAGCATTTTGTGCATTAACGCGCATACTGCTCCTTGCCAGCTCCTCTGGGGAGGCTGAGAGAAAGCCTCCCCTGACCATTCCAGCTTACCCTTCGGCTAATCCTCTAAGTTTAGATTATTTAATCTGTAAGTGGTTTATGACAGTTTTTTATTTTTAAACCAAAAACACGGTGACCTAGAAGTCCTGTGTAACTGAAAAATATTTTTGTTGAAATATTGAGGGGTGAAGTGTCTTTGAGGTCTGCAATTTGCTTTCAAATGGTTCAAGAACAACATGGGTTTATAGAGACAGAGATGGTGGGGGAAAGAGAAGGAAAATACAGTAAAATATTAACAACTGTTGAATCTAGGTATAGTCTGTATTGTGTTGACTGACCTAATCTTTTTTTTTTTGAGACCGGCTCTTGCTGTGTCACCCAGGCTGGAGTGTAGTGTTGTGATCTCGGCTCACTCACTGCAACCTCTGCCTCCTGGGCTCAAGTAATTCTCCCACCTTAGCTTCCTGGGTAGCTGGGACTACAGGCACATGCTATACACCCAGCTAAATTTTTTTTTTTTTTTTGTATTTTTTGTAGAGATAGGATTTTGCCATGTTGCCCAGGATGGTCTCCTGAGCTCAAGCGATCCTCCCACCTCTGCCTCTCAAAGTGCTGGGATTGCAGGTGTGAGCCACTGTGCCCAGCTGACCCAATCTTTAAACATTATGTAAACTTGAAAAATTTTGAAATAAAAAGTTGAGAAAAAAAATTTTCATGTTTACCACTAAATAACTCCACTGGGTGAAAACTGTTTTCAGTTGACTTCCCTGAAGTCTTCTCTACAGTTCTCTGAAAAATGACTAAATTAATGACTTCAAGAACTTTTCCTGTATAACAGAAATTCTGTGTAGTAAAGTTGTTGGGATTAATGAATTTGTACATTGCCATTTTAGAAATGCTTGGAATTTAGACACTGGCTTAATGAAAATACTTTAATGCTGGCATCTGGAACACAAAACATTTAAAGTTTTGATACAGTTATGAACTAATCTTATAGTTAAGTCTTTCCTGAATGGTCTTAAAGTTGAACTTTAGGTAAGTGTACACACATATCTCTCAAATTAAGGTAAAGAATATATCTTACTATTTCTGTATTCCCCAAAGTACTAGCAAATAGTAAAACCTCAAACTCTGAAATTAAACAGAAAGCAAAAGCATTATGATATAACTTTAAAATTAAGGTTTATATCATTTTGAGCATAATATGAAATTGCTTTTAAAATCAGTGTGACTAGGCCAGGCGCAGTGGTTCATGCCTGTAATCCCAGCACTTTGCGAGGCTGATGCGGGCAGATCACCTGAGGTCAGGAGATTGAGCCCAGCCTGGCCAACATGGTGAAACCCCATCTCTATGAAAAATACAAAAATTAGCCAGGCGCGGTGGTGGGTGCCTATAGTCCCAGCTACTCAGGAGGCTGAGGCCAGAGAATTGTTTGAACCTGGGAAGCGGAGGTTGCAGTGAGCAGAGATCGCACCACTGCACTCCAGCCTGGGCGACAGAGCAAGACTCTGTCTTTTCTTTTTTTTTTTTTGAGACGGAGGCTTGCTCTGTCGCCCAGGCTGGAGCCGGATCTCAGCTCACTGCAAGCTCCTCCGCCTCCTGGGTTTACGCCATTCTCCTGCCTCAGCCTCCTGAGTAGCTGGGACTACAGGCGCCCGCCACCTCGCCCGGCTAGTTTTTTGTATTTTTTAGTAGAGACGGGGTTTCACCGTGTTAGCCAGGATGGTCTCGATCTCCTGACCTCATGATCCGCCCGTCTCGGCCTCCCAAAGTGCTGGGATTACAGGCTTGAGCCACCGCGCCCAGCCAAGACTCTGTCTTAAAAAAAAAAAAAAAAAGTGTACCGGGTGCTCACATTATTATAGTATTGCCAAGGTAATCATCTTTGGAACTGATGTAAAAGGATTATCCCTCTACTGAGAGTCAAACACATTAGATTCAACTGGATTAACCAGAGTGCAAGAGATACAAAGGTCAAAGATGAATGAGTTCCTAACTTTCAGAGGCTAAGTAGAACAGCTAGACAAATACATAAGCATCACAAAACAATACAAGAAATTAAAAAATGAAGAAGAAAGGAAGGATTGTAAGGAGCCATGAATTTTGACAGGAAGGTGGCATCAGGGAAAGATTCAGGAAGCCAGAAAGTTTTGAATTTGGGTTTACAAAAAGAATAGTATTTTCCCGAATAGAAATGAGCAGGGCATTTCCATCAACAGAATGAGTATTAGAGGCTGGGTGCGGTGGCTCACGCCTCTAATCTCAGCAGTTTGGGAGGCTGAGGCAGGCGAATCACCTGAGGTTGGGAGTTCAAGACCAGCCTGACCAACATACAGAAACCCCATTTCTACTAAAAATACAAAATTAGCCAGGCATGGTGGTGCATGCCTGTAATCCCAGCTATTTGGGAGGCTGAGGCAGGAGAATCGCTTGCACCCAGGAGGTGGAAGTTGCAGTGAGCTGAGATCATGCCACTGCACTGTAGCCTCGGCAACAAGAGGGAAACTATCTCAAAAAAAAAAAAAAAAAAAAAGAAAAATAAAAAGAATGAGTATTAGGACAGGAAAACTGCTGGATGTGGTGGCTTAGCCTGTAAACCCAGCACTTTCAGAGGCCAAGGCGGGTGGATCACTTGAGGCCAGGAGTTCGAGACTAGAATGGCCAACATGGTGAAACTCCTTCTCTACTAAAAACACAGAAAAATTAGCCAGGCATGGTGGTACACACCTGTAATCCCAGCTACTCAGGAGGCTGAGGCAGGAGAATCGCTTGAACCCAGGAAGCAGAGGCTGCAGAGATTGCACCACTGCACTCCAGCCTGGGCAACAGAGTGACAATCTGTCACAAAAACAAACAAACAAACAAAAACAGGAAAACAAAGTACATTTAAATCTCTAAGGCCGGGGAAATTTCCAGTGTAACTGGAATATACAGCAGGAGTTAAGGCTGATGTGAAGAAATCTGCATAAGGACATTGAGAAACAGAATAAAAATGTGAAACAATACATTATATGGTAGTCTATGCTTATTAGCTAGATAAATAAAAGTAAGAAAGTTACCTACAGAGGAAGTCATAATGAGAATACCAGTGATCTCACAGAACCCAAGGATATGAATGTGGAATGTGCAGGGTCACGAGTACCACCTGCGGAATGAGACTGAGCCTTGGGAATAAATAAATGTAGGGACTCATATCAGGGTTCTTTCTATTTCTCATTTTTGCTTTTCTCTGTGTATCAATTTCATTCTTTTCTCACTGAAGATGCTTTCTCTTGGTGGCTGAAAATGTGGCTTCTAATCTCTTATATGTTTTATATATTACAGTTTCAGCCACCAAGAGAGAATAATCCTCTCCATCTCTGATTTTAAAATCCAGGGAAGAAACTCATGGGCTGGGACTTATTTAGGTGTCCACTCCAAAAAAATCCACTTCTGTCCTGGGTCAGGATCACAATCATTTAAGAATGCAGCAGCTCTGTCAAAAACTGTGGATGTGGTACGAAGGGCAAGTTCTAGAATAGGGGAGGAGAGCTAGGCAAAAATTCCAAAGACACTCACATTCTTTCCTGTCTACCCCTTCCATTTGTCCAACAGCTGTGGCCCTGGGGTTAAGATCCTTATCACTTTTCCAGCTTCATCTATGATTTGGTTCCTAAATTATTCACTCTTTTTTTTTTTTGAGACAGAGTTTCGCTCTGTCGCCCAGGCTGGAGTGCAGTGGCACGATCTCGGCTCACTGCAAGCTCTGCCTCCTGGGTTCACGCCATTCTCCTGCCTCAGCCTCTCAAGTAGCTGGGACTACAGGTGCCCGCCACCACGCCTGGCTAATTTTTTTTTTTTTTTTTTTTTGTATTTTTAGTAGAGATGGAGTTTCACCGTGTTAGCCAGGATGGTCTCGATCTCCTGACCTCGTGATCTCCGCCCGCCTCGGCCTCCCAAAGTGCTGGGATTACAGGTGTGAGCCACCGTGCCCAGCCAATTATTCACTCTTTACTGTCTATAGTCTCTTTACTGTCCTTCACACAGATTTTAATGTTTTACTACAGCTGCCTTTTTTCATGCTGTTTTCGAACTTTCTTCCTTTCACTACTATGGAATGTCTTCTTTCCTTCCAATAGACTAGTTAGTGATTATTAGAGCTTACCAATGTTATTTTCCTTATGACTTCTGAGTCTGGCACGCTAGTTTGGTTAGTGATATATCATTACTTAGGCCAAAGTCAGATATTTTATAACTACAGAAGCCAGTTAGTTACCTTCCCTTTGTTTCACAACCGAATACTATACTATGCACCTATGGGCCCATCTAAAAGATATTACTGGTCATAAGAATGTGGCTATCTCCGAAAAAATTGTCACTACTACCAGAAAAACAACTGAAAGAACATGGTGTAATTAGAGCAATATGGCCAAACATGTTTGGTTAATACTGTGTGTTTCCTGAGGAAAGGGAAATTAGCAAATATTTTCCTCCTTTTCAATATGGCTACTATGTTCCTATGTAAGATAGCCTTATCCTGCTGAGGAGACGGAGGATGTGGCATAAGACATACAGAAATTGACAAACATAGTAACCTTGTAAAACCAGAACTTTTTTACAAGGTATATTTCCCTTGTAAAACTAGGACTTTGATTTTGAGTATAGAATGGGACAGAGTCAAGTGAAAGAAGCCTTAGGTATCATACGGCACCAAGGAAAAAGATCAAAGCTTTCTGTCTGCTGCCTTTGCCACATAGTCCTTTATGGGACCAGTTCACTTTCTCCTTCAGTGGCAACAAAACAGACATTTTCCTGTGCTTCATCATTAATATATTTATATATTTATGTCAGTGGTCTTTGCTAGATGCGATTTAGACAGGTTAATGTTCGAACAATCTTGACCGAGTCTTTTCCCCAACAGCCTAACTGTAACACCTCAATCTAATGAAGACACATTGTGGTAGGGAGAATTCTAAGATGCCCCCTGGTGTACACACTGTGAATAACTCCCTCTCAGCGCAGACAGGACCTGTGAAAATGACAGAGTATCATTCTAGTGCCTAGGTGACGAAGCAGTTGACTTTGAGTTAATCAGAAGGAACATTATCCAGGTCAGCTTGACCTAAACGGGTGAGCCCTTAAAAAGGCCTGAGTCATTCCTGCAAGAAGAAATTCAAAGTGGGAGAGAGTCTCTGGAGGGAGCCACTGGGAAACAACTTCCAACAGTATTTAGGCACTGAAAAGCAGCCTCCCGCTGCCTGCCAGCAAGGGAATGGGGACTTCAGTCCTACAATCCAAGGCAGTGGCATTCTGCTGGCAACCACGTAACCTTGGAAGAGGACCCCAAGCTCCAGAAGAGTATGGAGCCTGGCCATGCCTTGATTTCAGCCTTGTGAGATCCTGAGAAGATAACTAAGCTCAGCTGTTCCAGGATTTCTGACCTACAGAAATCATAAGATACTTTAATCATGGGTACCGCTTTAAGTTGCTATATTTGTGGTAATTTGTTACCTGGCAATAGAAAACCAATACCCATGTATATATGCAGACTGAATATATGTTCATACATTGTGATTGCATAACGAAGAATTTGGAATTTAGAAAAGATCATTGTTTTGGCCGGGCGCGGTGGCTCAAGCCTGTAATCCCAGCACTTTGGGAGGCCGAGACGGGTGGATCACGAGGTCAGGAGATCGAGACCATCCTGGCTAACACGATGAAACCCTGTCTCTACTAAAAAATACAAAAAACTAGCCGGGTGAGGTGGCGGGCACCTGTAGTCCCAGCTACTTGGGAGGCTGAGGCAGGAGAATGGCGTAAACCCGGGAGGCAGAGCTTGCAGTGAGCTGAGATCCGGCCACTGCACTCCAGCCCGGGCAACAGAGCGAGACTCCATCTCAAAAAAAAAAAAAAAAAAAAGAAAAGATCATTGTTTCAAAATGGCATAAGGATCATTATTTTTTTAACCAGCAAACTAATGAAAGTGTTTGTAAATTTTTGGGTGGCTTAATGATTTAAATTACTTGGAAATATTTTAGATATACTTGGTAATATCTACATATAGGTTCTAGAATTTGACTATGTTTTCTTCTGAAATCAAAGGTACACAAAGCATACGCAGTAGTATTACCTTAATATCACGAACTTCATATGCTATCCTGTGGTCACTGACTCTATCCTGGGTGAAATTATATGTCCGAATTCGCTCTGACTGGGCTCTTGTTCCCACCTGTGCCATAATAAAAAGCAATTTATATTTTACCTTTATAAATGTCTTCATTACAATGGAAAAAGCACTTGGCAAATGACTATTTCAACAATTTAGATATTTTCTAAAAGTCATATATACAAAATGACAAAGAACAAGAATGGGCAGAACTTAATGTTTAACACTACAGGTCTGTAGAGCTCAGTTATAGAATAAGAAGGAATGTTTCTTTGATATTTCAAACTCAAAATACTTAAAATCAAATTAATCATCTTTCCACTCCAATCAGTTCCTCCTCCTGGTTTCTATAAATGACAGCACCATGTATTCCCTTTTATCCAAGTAGAAAATTCTGACATTCTGCAATTTATCAAACATTTTGTGGGTGTGAGTTTACTATGCCAGGCTTTGATACAGATGCACATGGGGGGACAGACCATCTTCAATTCATCCCATTCTCCAGCCGCCCATTTCCAATTGGTTTCATGGGTCTCTTATTATATCCTGCCCTTTCCATTTCTACTCCTGGACTCATTACTTTCACCTACAATTCTGCAAACATCTACTGATTCATCTCCCATTTTTCTGCTCACTTGGTGCTGCCCTGCTTAGTCTTCCTACAGTACAGTTTTCTGATAAATTTTCTTTGGTTCCTTCTTGTCTACTGAGCAGACACAACTCAACTCAGCATTCGAGGTACTTTGTAACGTGGCCAATCTTCCCAATGTTATTTCTGAAAATTATGTGAATCTCCATAATGCCACTAATAATACTATGTCATTATTATGTGTGTGTCTGTTATCTGTGCTATAAAACATCATCTCAAGGGATGCCCTTCCCTAACATTCTCCTACCATTTCTGCCTTTCTGGTCCCAGCAATTGAAATATATTCTCTTCTTCCTCTGAAACCCATTGTACTTGGAATGTTCTTCATGGCACACCACAGTTTATCTCATGCTACAGTTATTTGCATTCTTCCTAGTTTGCTCATCTCCTCCACCTCCCCAACACCCGATATACACAACACCCTGTCTCAAATGCTTTCGCTTTTTAAAATAAAAGAAGATAAGATATTTCTATAACTTATTGTCTTAAACCCTAAGGCAAGTGATATGAAACTAAACTCCTGACCATTAGAAGAATTTTTTAAAATTATGGATTCCTAAGCCCAACCTCAGAGATAATGGATCAGAATTATGTATTTTGAAAACATTCCCAGATCATCTCTTCTGACAATCAGCCAAGTTTGGAAACCACCCTCCCAAAGCACCATATTAATGGCCAGGACCTCACTCCAGATCAGTTACATCAGAATTTCTGGGGTGGGGCCTGGGCATCTATGAAAGCTTGTTAGGTGATCAGTGGACCCAGGATTGGGAATGTGACATAATGCCTTCTGTATAAAAGCCAAGTGTATATCTTGATTGAAGAAAAAAACTTCTAAGCCTTAGAAATCCCTATTAAAACATTTCAGGTAGGTGGATAAGTTATTCAAGAGGCAGTGATGTCTTTTTTGGCTCGTCAATCAGACCACTGAAGAAGACACACATGAACAATTTGTATAAAGCCAATCTTGAACACCTATTTTAAAAATTACTTTGTGGGCTGGGTGCAGTGGCTCACACCTGTAATCCCAGCACTTCAGGAAGCTCAAGTGGGCAGATCACATGAGGCCAGGAGTTCGACAACAACCTGGCCAACATGACAAAAACCCATCTCTACAAAAAATACAAAAATGAGCCAGGCATGGTGGCTGTAATCCCAGCCACTCGGGAAGCTGAGGCACAAGAATCGCTTGAACCCAGGAGACAGAGGTTGCAGTGAGCCAAGATCGTGCCACTGCACTCTAGCCTGGGTGACAGACAGAGAATCTGTCTCAAAAAAAAAAAAAGTTAGTCTGTGGAACCTCTGGTGCCAACATGTTAAACAGCAAGTAAATCCAAATGTCTTTTAAAAATTCAAATGTGGCAGAGTTCATAGTATTTATGTTATCACTTATTTGCCAAGAAGTAATGGTGTGTACTCAGGGTATATTATTTGCTTGTTAAAAACAAAAATAAGTTATGGTTTGTAAACGAGCATTCCTGTCGGCAAATGCATACACTGATAATGCTCTACAATCGAGGATTACCACTAACAGTGTTAATATTATTTATCCTGTCACTTTTACTACCTGCAAGTTAGCACGTAGGTAAAGAAAGCTAGAAGCACCAAAGTGTGAAAAAGCTAGGACACATCGAGATGAAAAGTATAACTAATGCTTAGGTTTAGACAATTCATTATCCTAAAAGGCCACAAAATCTTCCAAATTTAAATTACTGTAGCATAGCCAGGTGTAGTGGCATGTGCCTGTAATCCCAGCCACTCAAGAGGCTGAGGCTGGAGAATCGCTTGAACCCGGGAAGTAGAGGTTGCAGTGAGCTGAGATTATGCCACTGCACTCCAGTCTGATGACAGAGTGAGACTCCATCACAAGAAAAAAAAAAAAGAATTTATATATTAGGTTTACTTAAAATAATGACATTTATTCATTTTGCTTAGAATTCATCTATTTATCTATTTAAATAAGTAACACTATACCATATATAGTACAAAATTCAAAAAGTACCAAACGATATATAATGAAAAATAAATTTCCTTTCTACCCCTTATCCCTAGTCTCCATCAGTAGGATTCACTGTTCCCAGTTTTTTGCAGTGCCATTTGTATTTGATCTCACACACAGTTATAACACAAGCGTAGGTTTTAATTTTTAAAAATCAAAAACGTTCTTAATTCTCAAAGAATTATTTTGTCTTTTAAACCATTTTCCTCTTAAGACAGTAATGATATAAACACAAGAGGGAAACAACTAGGAAATACTTTTTAGTTTATACATCTTTCATTTACTAACTTGCAAACTGGTATGCCCAAGTTCAGCCATAAACCATCCGTTCATTTGCATTGAGTTACTGCTTATTTACAAAGGAGCGCATTTCTCTATGCTCTGAAACATTCCCATTTAAGCAAGAACAAACACTGCATTCTCCACAGAAAGTGACTTTTCTTTAAACAGTCACTAAATTATTACACCAAGTAAATCTTACCTGCAGTTTTCTAGCACTTTGTTGCTGACACTTGTCTTTCTCAATAATCTGCTGGTAGAGTCTAGCTCTCAACACACGAAAAGCTATTTCTTTATTTTTTATCTGTGATCTTTCTTGTTGGCATTCTACTACTAGCCCTGAAAAATAACAAGGATCAGAAGGTAAACTGTAGCTTCCACCAAATTAAGATAGAACCAAGGAACAGTTAAATGAGACAGGTTAATCAGGAAAATATCACAAAAGAGAAAAACATTTTAGGTTTAGCACACTTCAGAAACTAGCTGCGTTATGAATGTAGCTGTAGCTGGCGCTTCAGACTCTGATATGTAAATGAGAACTCTGTATGAGCACCCAGAAAGCAGCAGCATCTACAGATGCTTACCTATCCTTTCAGTCCCCGAGCTTGGCCTCTTCCTCCTCACTCATCCAGGCATCTCTGCAGCTCAACAAACAGCAAACTACTGCTACTCTGTATACTGTGCTGCTCCATTCTCTGTCCAACTCAAGAACTAGCCTCTTCCCCTTTCAGTCACAAATATACACAGAACTGAGGTTTTAAAGATACCTTTATAATGGCCAGGCACGATGGCTCACACCTGTAATCCGAGCATTTAGGGAGGCCGACGCGTGTGGATCACAAGATCAGGAGATCGAGACCATCCTGGCTAACACGGTGAAATCCCATCTCTACTAAAAATACAAAAAATTAACCAGGCGTGGTGGCATGCACCTGTAGTCCCAGCTACTTGGGAGGCTGAGGCAGGAGAATCGCTTGAACCTGGGAGGCAGAGGTTGCAGTGAGCCGAGATTACACCACTGCACTCCAGCCTGGCAATAGAGTGAGACTCCGTCAAAAACAAAAAAACAAAAAACAAAAAAACCTTTATAGAAAAAAGCCAATGAAAAGATGCTACTCAGAGTCTTTAAAAAGAAAAATTTATACTGAATGTTTCTGAGTTGTCAGAGTTCTAAATTTCTAACTTGTTCTGCATAGTCTGAGTTAGCTGGGGTCCAGCTAATCAATACATCTAACCACACACAAGTTTTGGCTGGCCAGCTTCTGCATTTGGGTGGGTTTGGCCCACTGTGTCGTCCAGTTACTGGCCCAAATCCAGCCCTGAAATGATCACTTCTTGAGGCTGTGTTGTTCTTAACTTTGTAGCTACCACTCTGAGGTCCATGTCTAATCCCGCTCCTCAGTACATTAGAGGAGAAAGGGGTTTTCTTTCTGACTCACAAAAACTAAAAACCAAAAGCCCCATTAGCTTGGCCTATCTGCACTGATACAGTGGTAAATATTTTGCTGGAGATTTAAAGAATTTCTATAAAATTCTATTCTCTGAACTATGTTTTCTCCCTGTCTAAATAAGCTACAGTCACTACCTGCTAATATTTTTAGTAGGGCACTGAGGTTTCACCTCTATTAGTTTAATCACTTCCTGACCTCTTTACTGTGGCCATCTGGTTGGACTGGGGGCACTGACTGACCCCCATCTTCCAGGTATTTGTCTGGAGTTTCCCTGACTCTCGTATCCTTTTCGTATTACCCCAAAGAATATGAACATTTCCATTTTAAGACAGCCAGGCTTTCATGAGCTCTCCTCCACATTCCTCTTCTTGTCAGCTGATCTGTACTGATTTTTGCCTAAGCACCTGTATTATTCCTATCTACTCACTCAGGTTAGAACTTTTAGATCAAAACTATTACTTTCCAGCTCAGTAATTACTAACGGAATCACTTGATTATGTATTTTATTATATACTTTCTAAAGAGGAGTATTTAATAATAAGTACTCCCTTAAGAATAGAAGATGTAGAGGGAGGGAAGATATATTGAATAATAGAAGAGGGCTGGGTGCGGTGGCTCACACTTGCAATCCCAGCACTTTGGGAGGCAAAGGCAGGTGGATTATTTGAGGCCAGAAGTTCTGAGACCAGCCTGGGTAACACAGCAAGATTTCGTCTCTACTAAAAATACAAAAAATTAGCCAGCGTGGTAACTGCACCTATAGTCCCAGCTACGCAGGGAGCTGAGGTAGGAGGATGGCTTGAGCCAAGAGTTCGAGGTTACAGTGAGCTATGATCATGCCACTGCACTCTAGCCTGGGCAACAGAGCAAAACCCAGTCGAAAGACAGAAAGAGAGAAAGAGAAAGAGAAAAGAGAGAGAGAGAAAAGAGAAGAGAAGACAAAGAATTACAGAGGCCATCTTTTATTTTACTCGCCAACTGGTAATAAACTAAAAAGCCCACTTTAATGCATAAAATATTCATTTGTCTTCACCCTTATCTTGGGATAAATTTTCCCAAGAAAGGTAATATTCCTCTGTATAAACATTTAACCATACCCCTATGAATAACTCTTCCAATGGTGGAAAATGGAGTCATCTAGAAGCAGTGGTTAGAAAAAAAACATGATTCTTCAGAGTCCATGGCATGGAGAAAAATAGAAGAATAGAAGCTATAGTTTTCACTTTGAATTCTAGCAGGGACAGTTCCTAGTCTAAGGTCTTGGGATGGAAGAAAGAATGGGAGAAATGGAAGAAAAGCTGAGTTTTCCTTGAAGCAGATGCTGAAACTATGGCAATCCTCAAAATATGGAAGAAGCAGGCTGAAGAAATCACTTCGTTATAACTGCGTGGCTTCCTAAGGGCTAGGTCTTGACATGCCTTGCTTGCCTAAAGGGAAGGTTTGAGGGCAGGACTTCAGGCCTCTTTAAAACCAAAGACTCAGATCTAAGTGGTTAAAAGATAACTGGCCCAAGGTAAGTCTGGCAGCACAATGATAAGTCACTTTCTTTTCCTTTTATTGTTAGTTGACATGTAATAATTGTACATATTTATGGGATATAGAGTGGTATTTCGATACAATGTGGAATGATCAAATCAGGGTAATTAGCACATCCATCACCTCAAAATTTATTTATCATTTCTTTGTGTTGTGAACATTCAAAATCTTCTAACTTTCTGAAAATATGCAATAAATAAATCACTGTTAACCATATTCATGGTATAGTGCTGTAGAACACCAGAACTAATTCCTCCTAACCGGCTGTAATTCTGTATCCCTTACCCAACCTCTCTCTATCCTCCCCTCCCCCTTACCCTTCCTAGTCTCTAATAACCACAGTTCTACTCTCTGTAAGTCACTTTTTGTAAAGTCAGCAATTTATGGCTACACAGGGTGGTTTTACAACCTTTAAGTTTTAAAGTATTCTGGTTTATTTTGTCAGAGTTTTGATCACCTTTTACCCAATTTTTTACCCATTTTAATTTTTAATTCATCTGAAGCTAATTATTACTGTTCTGGACTATGTATAATATAGAATGATATCCAACAATACAGGGTTTAGGTGAAACACATTAAGTATCCAACAATTTATGGATTGTTGAAATAAATTATGGCAAGTTACAAAAAGTATAACCTCAGGACGGGCACGGTGGCTCATGCCTGTAATCCTAGCACTTCGGGAGGAGGAGGTGGGCAGATCACTTGAGGTCAGGAGTTTGAGACCAGCCTGGCCAACATGGCAAAACTACGTCTCTACTAAAAATACAAAAATTAGCCAGGTGTGGTGGTGCACGCCTGTAGTCCCAGCTACCTGGGAGGCTGATGCAGGAGAATAGCTTGAACACTGAAGGCAGAGGTTGCGGTGAACCAAGGTTCACTGGTCACTGCATGCCAGCCTGAGTGACAGAGCTAGACTCCTTCTAGCAAAAAAAAAAGTATAACCTCATTTTTTGGGGAAAAAATGGCATATTACTATATGTACAGAAAAGAATTTGAAAGGATGTATACCAAAGATATATGCCAACAATGGTTACTGGGTTATTATTACAGATGTTTTATGTTCTTTTGCTCATGCATATATTATTTTCTTTTTTTTTTTTTTTTGGAGACAGAGTTTCACTGTTGCCCAGGCTGGAGTGCAATGGTGTGATCTCAGTTCACCGCAACCCCACCTCCCGGGTTCAAGCAATTCTCCTGCTTCAGCCTCCCGAGTAGTTGGGATTACAGGCATGCGCCACCACACCCAGCTAATTTTGTATTTTTAGTAGAGATGGGGTTTCTTCATGTTGGTCAGGCTGGTCTCGAACTCCCAACTTCAGGTGATCCACCTGCCTTGACCTCCCAAAGTGCTGGGATTATAGGCATGAGCCACTGCGCCCAGCCTTTTTTTTTTTTTTAACAGTTTCCTATGGAATAAAAATCAATAAAGGAAACTTAAGAGAAAGTATGAAATTATCCCATTGTTGGATATTTATGTTGTTTTAGCTTTTCATATAACAAACAATACAAGCAATCAATGATGTCTGACTTCAAGATGGTTTCCGTTTTTTTTTTTTTTTTGAGATGGAGTTTCGCTCCTGTTGGCCAGGCTGAAGTGCAATGGCACGATCTCGGCTCACTGCAACCTCCACTTCCTGGGTTCAACTGATTCTCCTGCCTCAGCCTCCCCAGTAGCTGGAACTACAGGCATACACTACTACGCCTGGCTGATTTTTTTGTGTTTTTAGTAGAGACGGGGTTTCACCATTTTGGCCAGGCTAGTCTCAAACTCCTGACCTCAGGGGATCCACCTGCTTCAGCCTCCCAAAGTGCTGCGATTACAGGTGTGAGCCACTGCGCCTGACCCACCCCCCCTTTTTTTT